CCCACCCCCGCCACCGCCACCTCGCACCTGCTCCACGTATGACGACATTATCGTCTGCAAACAATACATTCATAATCATTTCTCCACTAAGCACTAGACAAGTTGTCAATCGAGTCAGCTACATAACCTGTATGTGGTCTGTGATGTGGCAGGTGGCGTCCTGCGGCACCGGCTGCTGCAGCGGTTGACCGGAGCGCGCGTTGCACAGCGCGCCCATCACCAGCCACGACAGCTGACGCACGCGCCCCACGCACTCCCCCACCTCGCGAGATCTACTCACATAAAAACCAGTTGGAGAACACTCACGGATTACAACCGACACCTTCGAGCTAATATAACGTGCAGCGTGTGGACACAGAAAGAATTAAAAAGTGGTTACTGTTGGCTAACCGACCCAGGCAGCGCGGCGGTGAGCCAGGGCAGGTGGTGCCGGGCGGCAGGCTGCGCGCGCTCCTGCCGCGCCCGCCCCTGCTCCGCCGCCAGCTCGGCGGCCACGTACTGGGCGATGCCACCCTTCACGATAGCACCCAGCGTGTCCTCGTTCAGGCAGATCAGGTTGCGGTTCACGATAGACTTCGACACCGAACCCTGCGGTAAAAAAAAACAAATTTGCAAAAGAAAGATGTCAAATATAGGACAATTGAGTCTAAATAAATATACAGATTGGTAAGAGACCTTGATTTTGTTGAGTAGATGTGGATCGTGCAGCAAGTCGAGCAGGTCGGGCAGGTGCGGGCGCATGCAGTCCACCGCGCCCGCCGCCAGCTCGCGCGCGTCTCCTGCGCCCGCGGTCCACGCTCCGCCCAGCGCCGGCGGCAGCAGCAACGTGCACCCTCGACCTGGTAACAATACATTATTACCAGTAGGAATTCAAATTATCCGCAAATGTATTCGTGCAGCCACTTACCTTGCAGCACGAATTGTATGAGCATGAAGAGGTTGTCGTCCGGCACGGTGGTCTTGGTGCGCAGCGCCTGCACCAGCTCGAAGACGAGGACGCGGCACAGCAGCAGCTTGTCGCGGTCGCGGCCGAACGCCCGCACGCAGGCCGCCGCCACCTCGCACGCCAGCGGCAGCCGCACCACGAAGTTCTGCACCGCGTAGCTGAGGATCTTCGAGATCGGCTCCAAAATGCTCTGTGGAGGAAGACCACGGTGACATCGGCGCGCTGCAGCGGCATGCGGGGGCAGCTGGTGAAATGTATACCTTGTGCTGGTGGGCCTGGGGCACGCGGAGGGCGGCGGCGGCGGCTCGCAGCAGCGGGAGCGCGTCGTCCAGCTGCGCCAGCTGCAGCGCCACGCCGCGCAGCAGCTGGTCCAGCGCAGTCAGCAGCGCGCCACACGCCGCCGCCGGGCCCAGAGCCTCGGGCGCCAGGCACTCCAGGTACATCGCGATGTTGCCCGCTATCGTCGGCATTTGCTGCATAGTGGCGGGATGGCTTTATATACCGGTACAATTAGTGTAAGCTTACGGTATATATAATTAAAGTTACGTCAATGGGCAGGGACTTCTTGGAGTTGAGGTGCTCGAGCAGCAGCTGCAGCGGCCCGCACGGGTACAGCTCGTTGAAGTCCACGAAGGCCTGCGCTATGCTCTTGAAGAATGTTATACGCTGCTTCTCTGAAATAATACAAATCACATGTTAGCGCGGCAACACTTCTTAAGCCATAACTGCGGAATAACAATATACATGTGTGTGTAAGAGGCGAGTACCGGGCGTGCGCTGCAGGAAGATCTGCAGGAAGACGTTGTTGGGCGCGAGCTGGTGCAGCACGCAGCGCAGGAACTGCTGCGCGACCAGCATGGCGCTGCCCGGCAGCCGCACGTTGCTGTCCGTCTGCCACGAGTAGTTGCCCTGCTGCGCCACGCTGCGTGCCACATAGACCAACACGACTATAGTGAGCAGATCGTGATAACAATATGATGATATTCGAAGTCGGCAGTATACCTGCTGATGCAGTAGAGCAGCGCTGGCAGCATGGGCGCGGCGGAGGCGGGCTCGCGGTGGATGAAGGTGCCCAGCGCGATGATGCACAGCCCCAGCTCCTCGTCGCTGTACTGCTCCACTGCGCTGCCGCACTCCGCACCTGACACAACAACAGGTTACTGTAGCCTATCTATCAACAGTACCGAGTGCTGCAGCAGCAGCAGCGACAGCAGCAGGGCACTGACAGCGGTAGCAGAGCGTGGCGTCGGGGCGGTGCACGGGGGTGCGTGCTGGGGGCGGGGCGCGCGGTGCGGCGTGTGCGGCGCGCCTCCCCGCGCGGCTCTCGTCGCCCCACCACGCGCTCGCTGGACGACCGCTCTCTGTGCAAACAGACACACATATATATACTTTTTATACTTTCATATCATTCGTTTTACCAAAATAACTAGATATCATCTTAAAAAAGCAAGTTTAAGTGTTCCGTATGTTATGTCGGTCGGCTGTGGCAAGAAGCAGACTACTGTTGAAGTTTCCTTACTGATTGTAAAAGTTCGTACCGGTGGAGTGGGGGCGGGCGGAGGAACGCGGCGTGTGGTGGGGCTGGTTCTGGTGCTGGAGGTGGGACTGAGCCGGGTGCTGGGGCGCGGGCGCGTGCGGCGGCGAGCCCAGCTGAGCGACCTGGCGGGCCAGCCGGCGCGGCGACCGACTGCGAAGAGCGAACACTCGATTTACACACAAATGTGTTATGCGCGGTTACATGGTTCTTATTCTTGTAAACACATTTGTCAGCTTAGCGGCAAAGTAGTCATAAAATCACCTGGTGCTATCGGAGGACAGCTTCTTGGTCAAGTCCTGCGGTCGGCCGGTGGGCGTGGGCGTGGGTGTGGGCTCAACCTCGGACCGGCTCGAGTCCGTTCTGTCCGTTGAGTCATCTGCAAACATACTTAAACTTGTCAGAGAGTCAGGCTCCCGTGGTGACATGACGGCGTGCTTCAACAGACTTACCCTGAGGCAAGCTGAGCGCCTCGCGCACTCGGTCCACGAGTGCATTAAACACGGGATACTGTTCCTTATTAGGTTTCGGACCGATCGGCAGTAATCTGTAGGGAGAACGATTCATTTAAGGTGTAACTTTAGAATAAATATAGTGTGCGGTAGTAGTTCTCAGACCTCTCCTGCGGCGGGATGTGGAAGGGCTGGTGTGTGTGAGGAGGGCGGGGATGGGGCGGGGCGTGCCACGCCACCTCCATCTTTGACAGCGGGGACTCGGGCGACGCGTACGCGAGACCTGCACGCATCAATATACAGCTTTACCATTTTTTACTTCTTCTATGGTAGTCGAAGGTGACTTTTCTGAGTAAATTTTCCGTTTTGGATATATCTGCTTGCTTATCAACCATCAACAGTAAACGTTTATAAACTGAACCTACTCGGTGCCCTGTGAAAGTGTTACAATAGTTATGAATTAATGAGACAATGCAGTGGACCTGGGCTGCGCAGATGATGATGGTGCGGGGCGGGGCCGAGCGCGTCCCCGTTAGAGGACGGCGCAGTGTCCGGAGACGTGCTGCTGCCCGCTGGGGAAATATCTTAATTATAATCTTAATTTACATAAAATATAAATGAGAATTATTGTCAGACCTAACGAAGTTGTTATTCCATAGTTTTGTTTAATATAATATATCTCACCAAGGATTTTCTTCTGCTTGCCGAGCACGTTGGCGCGCGGCGAGGTCTGCCCGTACTGGTCGGGCCACACCTCCACAGACTGGCCGCTCATCGGCGTAGATTTTCTTAACAAAATACTTTTAATTATCCATAAAAATAAGTTTTTTTACTACAGTTTTAAAAACCAATTATAAAGGACCATTTAAATATTTTTTGTTAAGTTTGCCGAGCGGTACTTACAAGTTGGAAGAATCACTGCCGATGGAGACAGAGGAGCTGGTGGAGAGATGGTGTCCCGATCGCGTCCCGCTCGTCGGCTGGAATGCGATCATAATTTTACATCGAGTCTGTGATTATCGAGTCAGTGACAGTGAGGGTATACTGACCGGCTTGGAGTGGGAGGGATGTACACAGAGGGGCTGCACGTCAATGCGCGGCGGATCCTCGCAGTGCGACGGCTCGTCGAATGACCCCTGACATACACAAAGTAAATATTATTTAAAAGGAAAAGTTTCAAATAGATGTGACTCGTGTGGGGGCGGCGGTCACCGGCGCGGTGCTGCCGTGCACGGTGGTGTCGGACTTGTCGCTGGTCTCGGGGATGGCGATCAGCTCGCTCTCCGAGGACTCCTGCTCCACGCTCCACTGCTGGTACCTGCACCGCGAGCCACTCACGTGAGGACCATCAGACAGGAAGACCGGTTCCCGGCGCTGCGGGTAGAGGAATGTAACATACTTGGCGGATTCGGGCGGGTCGGACCAGTGAGAGGGCGACTTGTGGCTGGCGTTGCCCTCGTCCATCTTCAGGGACGGCTGGCTGGCATCTGAACGCGACAAAAGTACATTTTAGAGACAAAAGTCAGAATCGAAGAGAAAAGGGTAATTCTTGTTTGGTCTCCTGCCGTCGAGTGTACCTCTAGCGTTGCGTGGTGTCTGCGCGGAGTGTGCGGGGTGTGCGGGGTGCGCGGGCTGGGGGGGCGTGTGGTGTGTGGGGGGCGGGGGCGGTGCGGGCGGGGCCGAGGGGGCGTGGTGCAGGTGGGGCAGCAGCAGCATGGGCGGGATGCGCTTGCACTGGTGGTACTGCGCCTCCACGGAGTTGAGTACCGCGCGCACCAGCCCCACCGCCAGGCCGCACAGCGCGCCGCCGCTGTAGTGGTACTGAGGACCAGATAATATTATTGTGAATGGTGAAGACTGCCGTTGGGTCGACGTTGTCGATGTAATATCTAGTGGTGCACCTTGTAGAGCACGACGATGAGCGCGAGCAGCCAGTTGCGGCGCACGTGCGGCTCGAGCGCGGCCAGCGTGTGCGAGTGCGCGGCCCCGCCCACCGCACCCGCCGCCCCGCCCGCGCCCGCCGCCCCGCCCACACCCGCCGTGCTGCCCGACGCCGGGCTGCAGCAGTACTGGAAGTGACGAGATCAGAACTTTTATGAAGTCTGCTAAAAATCTTCAAAAAGATCAATTTTATCGTGGATGGCCCTTTTGCTAATGCTAGAAAGTGATATATAAACCTGCAGCACGAGTAACGTGGGTTCCGCAATGCTGCCGCCCATCACATGGTTCTGGTCCAGCACCTGCGGCAGGTTGGCCATGAACGCGTTGAACATGGAAGACTTCCTGCGGAAAACAATTCCAATGTATGTCCTGATAGTAATGAAACATAAGCATAGCTAGAATGAGATGCAGATGTACCTCATGGCGTGCGGGGACACGTGGAAGTACTTCTCGTTGCAGTTGTATCCGAGCAGCTGGAAGAGGTGCTTCAGCACGAGGTCCTGCGTGCGCTGCGTCGCCTTGTCCTCGCTGGGATGCGCCTGGTCTGATCTAAATACAACAACTTTCTAATTAATGTGATTCAATTCATGGAAGTAGATGAGAAAAGAGTAAAAGTTACCTCGACAAAAATTGCATGAGAAGAAATACGAGTAGGTTGGTTGTCTCTTTGTCGGTCTCATCGATGTCCACTTTTGGCAGAAAGATCGGCAGCGCCTCGTCGGGCGACCGCCCCGACAACGTGTGGAAACCCTCTGCAAGTGTCATGTCAATATCAGCCTTTACATAAATCTTAAGACATAGGAAAAACCTTAAAATGTAAAGAGATGGTCATCATTGGATTATCATTTTTCCATCTTGTATTGATTAATTTTAAAACACAAGTTTTAAAATATTATATAATAAAATTTTGAATTAATCTTGTGTAGTAAATGTTAGAGCCGTCGAAAAGCACTAAAATGCAGGTCACAAACTTAACAATAAAATATTATCAGTAGTTTTAAAAACTACGATCAAGGCAAAGGCATTTGACAAAGTTACACATGCATTTGCAAAGATTGACAAAATTTAAGACTTAATTCTGAGATAAGAAAGTAATAGTAGTTTTAATTTAAGAAAACTACTTTTACTTTATTAAAAAAACAGCATATTTTGTATTTAAAAAACTCTTGACTTGATGGAGTACCGCAAGGGCCCGTTCGTGGACCACCATAACTTAATTTCATAAATTAATAAAAACTGAACAATAACAACTAAAGAAAATAAAGTAATACATTAACAGATTAATCTTACAAACGGCTGTCATCACAATTAATTATCTTTTTGAGAACCGTCAAAGATTTGAATACTTGAGGCATTTTATTCTAAAATCTATGATATTTCATCGTATTCACAAGATTCCTAGCTAAGCAATTATTAGCAAAAGGTGGTTTATGGAAGCGTGCAGTGCAGCCAATTTGTTAGGTGCAAGCTTTGGTGCAATCTAGACATTTTAATACGGACAACGTCTGAAAAGACAAATGGAATCCAAGATCAGAAACGAGGTTAAAGGACTTTTGGAGACTGTCTCCAAAACTATAAGTGAATTTGGTATGTAAAAGGGTTATTGTTGGGTGTGCGATGCGGAGGCTACAGATAGAGAGCAGAGACAAACCGTGCAGGTTGTTGTTGCGGGCGGCGAGCGGCTGCGGCGCCAGCAGCTGGCCGAGACCGAACCGCGAGGTTTTACGCTTTAGCAGCGGCGCCGAGTACTGGCGCGAGTACACTTTCTCGCGCTCTGCGTACATACGTCACTCTGTTATCCATCTATTTAACTCGACGGAGCCGTTTAGACAACTAAATATGTTACTTAATTGAAAATTAAAGAAAATAATAATGGAAACTAAATTTATTAAGATTTTTGTTGATATTTGTCTTAAGTTAATTATTTAGTATTTGGTACAATAGTATTAAAATAATTATTTATTAAAATGTTACATGTCAGAGCTGTTTGTGGTATGTGGTGTGTGCGCGGTGTGGTGTGTGCGCGGTGTGGTGTGTGCGGTGTGGTGTGTGCGGTGTGGTGTGTGCGGTGCGGTGTGTGCGGTGTGGTGTGTGCGGTGCGGTGTGTGCGGTGCGGTTACCGAGGCGAGGGTCGTGCGGCGGCGGCGGCACAGCGGCGGGCGCGGAGACGGTGCGCTTGTAGGGCCACTTGGCGGCGAGAGAGCCGCTAAGCGTGTGCACGTGCGCGGCGCGCGCAGACACGCTCAGCGCCTCGTGCGCGCGCCGCACCTTGTGCACCAGCCACTCCGAGGACGTGTCGCCCCCCACCACCTCTGAAAACCATTACACCACAGTTTGTCTTTAAACGAACATTGCAGCTGATCGACGCTTGTTATCTCACTGGCGGTGGACAACGCTGTGTGGTGATAGTTGGTCGCATGGTTCCCCTTCACCAGGAAAACTAACCTCGTAAATTAGCAAAGTCTAGAGTCTTGTTGGAATTGATCTGCGCCTCGAGCAGCAGAGTCTCGAAGCGGTTAAGGAAGAAGTCCCAGGTGAGGATGCGGCGGTCGCTGAGCGTGTTGTGCAGCTGGTACACGGCCTGCAGCACCGTCGGCCGGTCCACTATCACCAGGTCGAACTGCGTCTCCAGGCAGTACAGCAGCAACTAGGAACCGTCGACATTATAACTACAGCGAATGCCTTGAGTGTGTGACTAGCAACGTATCCTTCATAACAGCAGCGTGTGTTAACCTCGATGGCGCTGTCGTGTATGGTGCCGATGTAGAGGGTGGCGCGCTGGGCCACGTACACGCAGATGTCGTCCATGCTGGTGATGAGGTAGCAGAAGGCGGTTGCCAGTGCGGTCTGCAGCGGCAGACTGCTGCGCACCGGAGACCCGTCCATGAACCTGACACAGTACTTGTCACTCACTCAATAGTCTGTGCAAACATCAACAAACATAGATAGAAGAAAGAGAAGAGATAGAGTGTATCTCTTTCGCATATCTCGTATTGAAGGACGAGGCAGTGATAGCGGAATGTGAGGTAATGATAGATTACCTAATGATGAGTATGACCCTCTCGACGGCAGTGAAGCGTTTCTTGGGGTCTGGCTGGTGGAAGCTGTCCCGCACGAGCGCGCAGAGCACGTCCGCGCCGCCCGCCAGCGTGACGCAGTGCAGCAGGATGGGCACCGCCACCGAGCTGATGTGTGACTGAGACGCGTCGCACACGTTCCACAGGCTGCACAGACAACAACTAATTCAGTACCAACCGCTTACCAATATGTCAGGAAATCAAAAAGTCTGCACACTGTCTGGATTGTCACAATGAAAGTAATCTTCTCGGTTCCTATTTAATACGTACTTGTCAATGAGCAGGTTCTCCTGGCACCATATGAGGAAGCCGCGGTGCTCGGCCAGCGCGTCAGTGTTGAGGACCAGCACCTGCAGGCACTGCAGCAGGTGATACAGGATGTCCGGCCGCGATGTGTTCTTTAGTTCCTATAAAATAACAATTTAAATACGTAAGAAGTTGCAGTATACATCATGTTATTACATTATAAAGCAACATCTGGCTCGAAGGAACACGTTACATTTTCTAGAAGATTTAAGTTTTAAGTTTAATTATTTTGACCTGCAGCAGCTGATGTATGTACTGCAACTCCTGCGGCAGCTCGTCGATGCAGAAGTGGAACTTGCCGGCGGAGGTGGGCCAGAAATTGGTCATGTCCTCCTCCACAGACTCGCCCGTCGCCTCGTGCTCGCCGACCAGGTTGGGAGTTGATATCTGTACATGCAATTGAAGGGTACATACATAGTTCCTATTAATTAATTGTTCTATAAGGCAATGTTCTAAAGTCATGACATCATTACTTATATAATCATGAGTAGCAAGTTACAGAAGGTTACATTAACTAATAGTACCGCTTAAAGGACTCTGAGTAGGACAATGAGAAAGATATAAATAGATTACATCAGCGGTGGCGGTGGCGACGTCAGTGTCTGTGAGGGTGACGGTGTGCGCGGTGGCGAGCGGCGGGCGCTCGGCGGGGGGCAAGCTGGCCGCCATGTCCAGTTGTTCTGTTATCGTCTCCACTGTCGCCGTCATTATCTGCGCAGTACAACACATTTCACACGTCCGATATGAAACAGATATTCGCACAAGCTCCGTTATTGATATCTCTCTCGCTCCTGTTTCCGATGTGCCAAATTAAATACATGGTACGCATAGGATAGTAATATTGTGATTCAAAGCTTTTTCTGCTTTATTAAAAAATCGGGAAACGATTGTTTTTGTAAAGCGATTAGCAACTCAAATAGTTCGACATCAAATTACACAAAATTAATAGACATTTTATTATTTTGAATTAAATATTATTTATTAATTTTCACTAAACACCGTACTTACCAAGGAATTGCCTTGAAATGTTCTTTTTCGAAACATAAAGATTAAAAATAATTGAGCAAAAATTTTATAAGCCTTTTAAAAAGCAACATGCCTTATTATTTTTATTTTACATCTTTATTTGGATTAGTCAGGTTTTTTTTTTTATTTTTTTTTAGAAAACGTGAAATGAACTCATAAAAACGGTTCCACCCAGTTAAAATCCATGTTTTAATATCATTTCAAGCTTCCTCGTAATTTAATAAAATGAAGTACATCGATCGCTATATAAAAAGACACATACACGCAACATATAAAATCAATAAACACGTGAAATAAGCGAGGAAAAGGTAAGACAAAGAGACATACTTGCGATTCACCTGACGACTTAGTGAGAGTGCCGTCCGAACCGACGTCGCTTATGAGAGACAGTTGCATGAAATGAACAAACTATACATCTATTATTTAAGTTCATGCCTACCCCAAATACACACATCAGGATGTTTAAAATAACACAAAAAACGTACTATTCTAGTTTTCTTTCAAACATAAAGAAAGATCAAAACAAATCGTATTAATGAAAGCCCTATTTATACGTCATTAGACTTTTTTATAGTCTAAGAGCTACTTAATGTATAAGTCTATGAGCTAACAGCGTTTTAAAAAAAGTAAATGAAGTTTAAACATCTAAATAAGTAAAAAAAAAAACAGAAAGATACATTTAAAAATTAGTTCTCATAAATATTAATTGGCAATTTTTAATTAATGGAGATTTTTTAAATTTATCCTGAAGCTGTATTGGTGGTTAGGCAAAGACTTTTACCTGCTTTAAACTAGAAAATAAAAACACTAAAGGAAGTTAATTTGACTTGCTCGTGAGATTTGGCGGGAAATTTTAAGCCGAAAATAAACTACGTATTTCGTAGAGATTATTGCAAATTGCTTATTGGTAGAGTCCGTGATAAAATCATGTTATAAAAAGAGGAAAGAACTAAAATGGAAATCTATTATAATTTGTTTAGACGAGGTTAGGATAAAAAAAAATCTCAAATTTTAATAGTTTTTTTTAATCCATAGTTCTTTTCTCTGCTCGGATAAGTAAATAACCAGTACACAATTTGCTGTTCTAGACACACTCTAAATATTTAAGTAGAGACTCGTAAGCTTCCAGTGGCCAATAACTGGGTACGTCACGTCACCTTAGTACGTGGTTTTTTGTATTTTTTGATTTGCTTACAAGCCTCGTTATAATTTTATTTAACTCTATTTCATTATTTATTTTATCATTTTAATAATGTTCAAAGGAACAAACCGGAGGTGATAGATTGTTCCCATAGTGACATTAAAATTAATTAAAAATTGTTAAAAGATGACTTGCAATATGTTAACATGCAGACATTAAAGTATAAAGAAAATCGAAACGCTTATTTACAAGCTTGCTTTATAAATGTAAAAATTGTATAAAGTATAGCGTCTCCCGCCAAATCAAACGAAGACGTGTAAATGTAGAAGCAAGGAGCAGCACTCACATGCGGCATGTGCACCAACACTCCGCCCACAGAGCTCTTGTCGCCGAGCACGTGCGCGTGAGCGTGCGCGTGCGCATGTGCGCCCGCTATGGACATCAAACCGTCCACTGAAGCGGCGGGAGTGCCCCCGGACTTGCTCCTCTCCTCCTCGGACTGGTTCTTCTTCAGTTGACTCTCACACCAAGTCTCGTCTATCGATGGCTGGATTCAAATTGAAGAGATATTTTATTAACACATGTTTAACATGGATAAAAATGACATTTATTTTGCATTTGTTTTGGTATTTTGGGGACAAGAATATTCTTCTGCCTTCTGTCCAATGTGTATACCCAAGTATACGGCACTAAATGCAATGCAAAAATGATACACTTGTGTAGCAGTGTACCCACGTGCTGGGTAAGTGTACCCATATGTACGGACGGTGTACCCACCTCGTTGTGCCTGGGCGTGCGGGGCACGAGTGCGCGCACGAGACGCACGCCCAGCTGCTGGCAGAGCGCCGCCGCCGAGCAGTAGGAGCACGCGCCGCCAGCCAGGCACTGCGCTGTACCGCACAACGCAAAACATTCGCAACACTATACTTTTAAAAGAACAATTATACGAGATTTAACGTCGTTAAACGATAATATAGAAGACAGATAGCAAGGTATAGAAGACTGAATATCTATCGTAAAGTAATACGCAGCAATATCACCGACAAGTCTAAAGTAGATTATACTTGTATGTCTATACATGTGACATCAGAAGGGTCCCTCACCATGCTCTATAGTGTTGGCCTGATTTGCCTTGAGCATGAGACGCAGCAGGCGCGTGGCCTCGCTGCTCACGTTCTGGATGTTGACGCGGCTCTGCTGCAGCTCCAGCTGAAAGACAATGCCTACCTTACTGATATTGCACAAATATTACAATAACACTGCGAAATTATTACACAATGATTGCTGATTATAATAAAAGTTCAGTACAGCTACAGTAAACTAAAGTAAAAGCTTCAGACACGATCTGCTGCTTGAAGCTGTCAGTGTCCAGAAGACCTTAGTTCACCTGCTTCAGTAATATGTCCAGCATCAAGATGCAGCACGTCAAGTTCTGAGGCTTGATCTCCTCCTCTTTATCCTTGTCTTTCTCCTTCTCCTTGTCCGTGCCTTCGGATGAGCCGTTCGTCTCCGTGTCTTTTGACTTGACGCTTTCTGAAAAACAATATAGATAAATATAAGTAAGCTAATAGTAATAATAAAATATCTCCAATAGGTCTGCTTTTATACCTGAAGGAGCTTTGACCAAGTTTTCTGGCATGTTGATGACACAATGGCTGAACAGATCAAACAGCTGGGACAATGGTATTTTCACTTCTAGGAGTGATATTGTCTGGAACGAATACAACATTATGAATATTGTCTCCTATTGCATTATATTGATATTATGAACTTATGAGTCAGTTCTTGTCAGATAACTCGAGAATTATTGAGAAATATGCAGAATTATTTCGATGTTTTGGAAGACTTATCCAGGGTACCTGGAACCAGTCGAGGACGGGCAGCACGGCCTCCGGGCGCGGCTGCGAGCCCACGCGCTGAGCCGCAAAGCTGTACAAGTTGCGCTCCTCCAGACACCCCATACCGCCCTCCGCCTCCAGGATCTTACCCACGGGAACCTTTAGTTCCATCAGCTCCTAACAGATGCGTCATTTTTACTGCTGTTATGTTGTTAATGTGTTGGTTTTAGTAATTTGTTGACTTGTATGTGTAATATCTTACTTTTTCCGGTACATCTGTACAGATAGCTTCCATCCAAGCTGGCATTATGGAATCCCAGATGGACTGGGTGATGATGCCATATGGAATCAAGCAATATAGTCTGTAAAAAAAAACGTTGTTTTGTACAGAAATTAATTATCATGTCAGTACTGGTGGTATGGCGGTTAGTATGATGTTCGTGTATTATCGCACCTGTTGAGCCCCTCCTTGAGGTGCTGAGTCTTGGAGGCGAGCGTGTCCCAGTGTCCGGCGTGTCGCGCGTGTGGCGGCGGGTGCGGCAGCAGGCAGTGCAGCAACACGCGCGCGTGACTCTCCGCCACCAGCCGCACCCACCCGCACACGTGCTCCAGTTTCAACTTCTCCACTGTGTTCGCTATCTCACCTGACACCACAACAAATATTTATCGCCTTCCATATACTCAGCGCACGAGGGTAGAGCAGTCAGGCAGATTGCGCTGTCCTTTTTTAAAATTAGAATAAGGAAGTTTTCGTAAGATGTAGGTACCGGTATAGGAGAAGGAGGTGACATGAAACCAGTGGAACAGCACTGATAGAAGCCTGCCTAGGATCTCCTCCGGCGTGTCGGGATTGGGCGTGCATAGCCCCACCATCAGCCACACACCGTATCTATAACACGAGGAATAGGATGACACGAGTGGCAAGTATTACGGCGCGGTCTTCTTTGGAGCTATTCCTCACCTGCCTAGCAGCTGTCGGTCTTCCACGGATATAGGATCCGGTAGCTGCACGCACAGCGGCGGCCCCAGCTGCTCGCTGCCGCTGTCGGGATCCTCCATGTTGATCGGCTTCGCTTCCTTTAGCAGGCTACGGAACGTTACTACGATCAGGAATTCTGTACCATAATGATACGATACTTTGAAGTCACTAGAACATTAAGACAATATATGTATGATGGCGAATTTAAGCACGAATGAAAATTGACAAGGATCCAAATAATTTGATAAGAGGTCAATCACTGGTTGCTGATACCAAAATGTTTTAGTTTTTCAATGTGTACTCGCCTGATGATGGCCTCGACGAGGTTGGTCTGCATGTCGGAGTCCATGTGCCAGGCGGGCGGCAGACGCGCGTGCGTCACGTGGTCGCCGCCGCGCCGGCTGTTGTGTCGGTTGCCGTGACACTGCTGGCAGTATCTACATATGTTTACAAACATTAAAGCTCACGCTATAAATGTTGATGAAAATAACTTAATAGATAGCTAAACAGACGGAGATGCAAGAAATTGTTCCACGAAGCCAAACCCACAAAGGGCTGTAGACCTAAAGAAGGAAACCGTTTTGTAATATTCACCTGATAGGATGGTTGCCATTGTAACTGGCACACTCGTTGGAGAAGCAGATGGAGTATGCAGATTTGTCCGTCGAGCGGCAGTTCTAACATAAATATCAATTTAATAAGAAAAACTTGAGGATCAAGTAAATACTATCAACACAAGCTAATTTTGAAAATACCTTATTCTCGCAGACCATGGATACCTGCTGCTGAGGATGAAGGATGTCAAAGAACCGTTGGTTAGGATGTTCTCTGTATAAATTAAAATATTTATGATGAACTTTTGTGTTCCAAAATCGTCAAAAAACGTATATCAATCAATTAGCATTGTATTTTCGTGACACCTTTTCCTACCCCACAAATTCTAAATGGGAGTGCCTTGTTGTAAATTTCTCATACTAGGGAGACATTTAACATATAACTTGTGAGACGTTTCTTGGGTATCAGGTGTGATGGTGTACCTGTGTATCTCGTTAGCACATTCAATGCAGAGGTAAAGCGGCGGCGGTGTGTCAGAGGCGAAGGTGACACTGATGCAGTGGTCGTAGCACACCTTGGCTGCCTCCGCACTGCCTGCGTTGGGACACATGTCGCGCTGGCACAGGAACGGCACCAGGTCATCTACACATCAACAACCACTCCATTAGAAGCATACAGCAAGGACTCTTCTCGTTTTTGTTTGATTAGAGATTATCCAGAAAAGTAAGTCGCTTTCTAAAGAAAATTCCTTTTTGTGAGAAGTCGAAAGTTATTTTGCTATAATAATAGCAGTATTTCACCTGCAATGAAACAAATTCCTAGAAATATAAGATCACAGATTATTCTACTAAAGCAATCCACTTAGTCAGCGTAATGTACTAAGGCCTACTCCTAGTCACCTTTAATAAGGGTAGACTCGAGCCCCGAGACCGAAGTCGTAAGAGCTGATAGCGGTCTCTAGAAGGTTGTGATTGGTTGTATACTAACTGGAGAACTTGCAGAGCAGGCCCTTTCGATCGAAGAGGTTAGCGTCGAAGGGTGGCCAGTAATAGAAGAGTAGCTTGGCGGCAGATAAACGCGCTCCCCACGTACCGTGCGCCACCACACACAGCACGTCGCGCACCGTCTGCTGCTTCATCGACATCAGGCATTCCAGCAGCTGGCAGTGGTGCGCTGGACGTAACGTTAACAGTGAGTCTCTAATGACGTTAAATGTTCCATCTCTCTCTTACTCTTTCATAAAATCAGAGATAATAATGTGTTACATAAGTTTACTTATCTTACTATGTAATAATATTCTTACACAGGTTTCTTTATATTTCTATCTATTTAAACCTTCGAACTTTTGGGTTTTAAAAATTAATTAATACCTGGATTATTGGAGTGCTGGAACACCATCATAATGATCGCGCCGACTGACTGAGACGCCTGGCTCTCCTCCTCCATACCGGAATATCTACGCGCTACATTAAAAAGTTAACACAACTAATATATTATATATTTGTTATATTAAATAATATACTACCGGACTCAGTATCAATTAACTTACTGATAGTGAATGGCAATATGTAATAGCACAATAGATGCAGTATCTCCTGGTGAAGGCAGGCGGGGAACACGGCCACACAGTACGCCACCATGTAGGGCAAGTTGTCGATCATGTCGTACTCCAGAAACGGCAGCAGGCAGCCCAGGCATTGCAGAACTGCTTGCCCAAATGCTACGCGCGAAATATAACACAAGTGTTAGGTTAGTCTTGATCGCAGTAGTTTGAAATCAAAACGACTTAAGACCATTCAATGTGGATTTTATTTTGTTAGTTAAAAATTCTTAAGCTTCAATTTGCACGTACCCTGGATACCATACTGTATGTGTGGAGCAGAGTCGACCAATTGTGAGATAGCATTGAACAGCCCCTTGTAGTCCAAGTTAGGGTACAGAGCCATGCGCTCGGCGTCGCTGTCCGCGTCACGGATCATCTCGAGAGGCGAGCGTGGGACATCTTTGAGAACGCCTACAGAAAAAAAATTGCAAACTTGTTGTTCCAGTAGTAGTACTACAATAATAAACTTTCCAATATTAAACAGACTTAAATTGGAAATATTGTAGATATTTTGATTTCTTAGATAACTTACTAAGTAGCGTCTGTGAGAAGTACTTCACGGTGTTGGCGATGTCGATGCCGGAGGGCAGAGGAGGGATGTTGTGCATCAGCCGCAGCTGGAAGTCGTACAGACTCCGGATCTTCGCCGTGACTGTCGGCACACCAACATTCACAATAACAAGCTAAATAGTACAAGGAAACAAGTTGCCACATTTTTTGGCATAAATTTAGCACGCCTACTCTTTATACCGACTTTCTTTAGATCGTGACGTTTGCACTCTTTCAATGGGGTTGAACCACCGGAAAATATAATAAGCTTCCTTTAGATTTTAGTGAACAATTCCAGTAACATCAACCATACATAAATACAGCAAGACACTGAAGAAGATGTGTTAACAATTCTCCTTTTATTTATTTTAATACATCAAATCCCTGTTATTAATTCGAAAAACGCCTTGCACTTTTAAAGAGCAATGCATATGGTGTAAAAATATTCTATCTCTAAATCGTGCATAACTATACGTTGAAGTAGGTGCATATATACAAATGATAATTAAAATATAAACGCTCGTTTGTTTATAAGTTTCAAAAGAAGAGCTCTGGTTCTATTACAAATCATAACATTTCAGTAGTTTAGTTACAAGTTTGCTTGTAAATGAGCAATGTAGAAAACATTGTGCTTTAAGATTTTTAAAATAAAATGATGTAAAAATAAAACAATAAATTTAACATTTTTTTATTTAATGCAGCATGCATAAGCACATAAAAGCTTATAAACCTATATGCAATATCAAATCAAAATGCAATTAATTTTCATAACATTCTGCATCTACATACAACAACATGAAAATACATTTTTTTTACTATATTTATAGAAATAAAAAATAAAAAATTATGCCAAATAATATGTAACACTAAAAAATATGTGCTTAGTTGAAATAGGAATATATGTATATGAGGATAGCAAACAGCTGCTCAAGTCCTGAAAGAAAGGTGAGCCAAAGACAAACATATAATATACCACTGTATATAAACCACTTATGTATATGAAACTATCATTTACTTGCCATTGCATATGTTATATGCTACTGTTATTTAAATATAATCAGTTTTTGTACAGATAATTAATCAATAATTAGCCCTACTCTGTTATTCGGGTAGTAAAACTGTTTTACTCTAATATAGTTTAAAAATATAAAAGATTATTTGATTACACTCCACCAATGTCAATCAGAAGGATTTCTTTTTTTAACTATAAAAAGATAATAAATAACATATAAGTCCATTGTTACAACTTATATTATGACTGTATGAAGGAAAATTTTAAAATAGTTTTTAATAAATAATTTTCTTTTGTTAAAAAAAATCTTTGATATCTGATTTTTTTTTCAAATTTGTTACTTTACTTGTTTACAATTACTGCATGACTTAGATAGAACTTTATTAATGTTATATTTATAAAACTAAACCATCTATATATCTAATACCAAATACGGCATGAAGACACCAAACATATATACTGGGAAACACATACAGAAGAACATATAGGGACACAAAATAAAGAACTGGGTTTCCGTGCAAGAACACAACACAAGTATAACATAGGATAGTTTTTTGATGTACAACACCAACATCAACTTAGAAATATATGATTAATTTAGCATTAATATTTCTCGGTTCATATGTATTTTGTAACAGCTCTATAGATTTTCTGCTCTAAAGACCTATAAAGACAAACATAACAAAAGAGGTACAGCACAGACATCAGAGTGAACACATTGATTGAGGGAACATCACACACACTGTTAGAACAGTTAACAGAACTAGTTGCAACAGGATGAAATTAACAGACAGTCGGACAGTCAAAGCGTGGAAGAAGACAGGTGTGTGCGGACTGCGACAACGAACATGGCCCGTACTCACGAGCTCACCTTTCTGGTTCAGCGGCTCCATGAGAAGCTGCATATCGAACTGCGTGGACTGCATTACACACAAAAAAAGCTTTCACTAAGAATGAGGCCGGTCGGAAACAGGGCCTTATGATCCTCTGAAAAAGAAATGTAGTAAATGTGCATGCAAGCCTGCCTTAGTAATAGGAAAGGTTTATATCATTGAATAAACTAGTAAAATAATTTAAAAATAAAAACAATGTTCCTTACAATTCTTAAATGAATGATAATAGAAATAAGTTGTTATATATTTGATTAGTTTGTAAATATAATGAAATGTTAAAACATTAAATTAAAACCCAGCAATTTTGTTTTAAAGTTAGGAAATATTTTTGTATAAAAATTAAAAGAAAAATGTAAACAAGTATAAATAAACAAAAAACAGGCAATCTTTGTGAGAACTTTTTAAATTTAGAATAGAAATTGCGACTTAAAAATATCAAGAAAATAAATAACACTTTCCTCCATACTAGGGCAGCGATGTAGTTAGGTTGTTATAGCTTTAAAGCAATATTTTAAAATATATTTTGCTTACATGCAGCGGCACGAGTACCCATATTTATCAACTGTATCCTGAAGCTGCCCTGCATTTGAATGTCCGTCGCTCTCACGTACTAAAACGGCCGGGACCCCAATCGATAACATCAATATAGCCCCGGATAGAGCTAAAATCCTACACAGATACTGCCTGGGAGAAAGAGATGAGACCTAAATCTAGATTTTCTCGTCTCTTCGTTCTATTGATCTCGTACAATTTCATTTCTGCGCGCGCAAATTGTTGTATCAAAGCTGTCAAAATCAAAATAAGATGGAAATCGGGATGTCTATTTTGACAGGTCAACACTCGATTCGGTGATATCGATGTTATGATCGAATCAAATCTACGAAATAAAAACTCAAAATTTTACATTACAATATTTTTTAAGGAATAAAAAATGAAATTACTAGAAAATATTTTATTGTCATGATAATCTATATCACAAATGTGCTCAACTATCATATACAATCACAGTCAAACCACGAAGGCAACTATCGTTCGAACCGTTTGAATGATGTAATTTTTATCACCAGATGATATGTTTTTCTACGACTTTAATGAAATAAATCTAAATTTTAAAACGACACCCTAAATTTATATACAATAATAAAAAATAGACAACACTTCAAAATATTTTAAGTTCTCATCCGCCCACGGTAGCACGTAACGAAAGATTATTACAGCGCTCGCCCGCCGCCCGTCGCTATAGTTTATTGACTCATGCGCCGCTGGCATTGAAACTAAACGGTCCTGGGCATTACGTGATCAACGGTCGTCCCGCGCCTTCCCGCGCTGCGCCCGCCAGCGCCTGCTGGATGACTAGCTGCTGGGCGCTAATCAACTTCTTCAGCTCTCTCACCTCCTGCGTCAGCTGTCGCACGTTCTCCGAGGTCTCATCCAGCCTCGCCTGTAGGCTGCCTAAGCCGGAGTATCCGTACTCCCTGTAACTCGAGTCGTTATTATTCTCATACTTTTTAAAGCAAGAATATGTTCCTGTAGTAGATCCATTCGAAGATATTGTATGTCCGTACTGTTTCCTCATTTTTGCTATATCGTAAGCGGCCATCATTATATCCCTTGGTAATCTTTTCTCGCTGGGATTCAGTGGTTTTACACTCAACACTACTCTGTAAGCTTGCGGGGAAACTAATGCTGATGAATGTAAAATTTTTAGAAGACATTTCGGTAAGTATCCATTGAATAATGCCAATTCCATGTAAGATATTAGTTTCGTTTGCCGCACGAGCTTGGACAATCCGGCGGTTTTCCTTAGCCCTTGGATATCGTGTACAGCTATACCGACCAGCAGATTCATCAGAACGACCGTCACAAACATCAGAAACAACACGTATGTAATCTGAGCCGAAAATTCCAGTAATACAGGTGGATCGTTACCGTCAGGTTCGTTAAGCAGTAAATCTAAGTTTAATTCTCCAATCATCATAGTTAGTACGGTAATAAAGCCCATAAATGGATTAGCAAATGACGAAGAATCCGGAAATATGACGCAGAAACTGATTGTAAATCCGATCAATATACAAGAGTAGGCCATCAGAAGTTTTGCAAATTCTTTTTGGACTTTTTGATACATCGCCACGTAAGTACCGAACACTGGCAGTTGACCGATCATCATCATGAGGTTCGTCCAGCCTGCGAGCACCGCAAACGCACCGACGTGATTCTGCCACGTGTAAGTTATGTTGGTATAAATATACGAAATGAGAAATACACTCACGATGACGAACCATTCAATTATGTTTTCGGACTGCATCAGGTATTGTTTGACAGTAGAGTAGCCAGCTATGCCGTAAACCTTTCTAAATATCTCGAAAATGGTTATACCCGCTAGCACCCACCATTGCATTTCGATTACGAATGGATTTTTCCTTAATAAGTCCCCAAGAATCGATTGCTTCTGACAAAGCTCTTGTTCTTGAATCGTCTCTTCCATATCTTTGCTGCCGTTGTAGCAGTTGTGAGCCAAGGCGGTCAAGACGTATAAAGTGAGACACAGGACAAATATAAAGCTCAGGAACAACCGCGCCACGTAGTATTTGCGAATCTTCTCCCATTTAATGTAAAGGAAAGCCGAGCACAAAGGATGTAGCAGCACCTCCTTCTGTCCCTCATCTACAAAAGTGTTAAGATAGCTTATCTCTCGCGGGTAGCAGTGCTGTAGTATACTGCGAAAGTCGAGCTCCAACTCTACTTCTCTGTTGCTTGTCTGTGAATGATGCAACGTGATAGCACAATCTAGTTTCCTCGTTACCATAGCCAGCGAGGCTGGGGTCTTGCGAGCGATTACATTGAGCGCAGAATTACCCTTTTTCGACCTCGTCGTGACGTCGGCGCCGTGGTAAATTAAAGTTTCGACACACGCGGAAAGGCCATCTAGAGCGGCCAGATGGAGAGGCGTGAAGCCGTATTCATCTTTCTGGTTGACATTTGCCCCCCAACTTATTAAAGTTTCAATAATATCACAGGCACTGTCGGACTTGCCTATGGCGGCATGGAGGGGCGATCTCATGTCGAAGTCCATAGCGTTGGGCTCGGCGTTACCTTTTCGCAACAATGACTCGACACACTCCAAGCTCGCGGAGCGCGCGGCCAAATGCAGAGCGGTGAAGCCGCGATGATTTTTTAAACTCGCATCAGCACCTTTAGAAAGGAGCAAGTCAACACAATCGGCGAAACCGCCGTCGGCCGCTAAATGTAACGCCGTCGATTCTCTGTCGCCGACTCTCGTCCGGACGTTAGGGTCAGCCCCGGGAGTGTCCAAGAGTATTACGAGACATTGAATCATGCCCAGGTCTGCGGCGAGATGAATCGCGTTCGTGCCTCCCGGTTCTATTAAATTGACGTCTATTCCGTGAGAAATAAAGAGCTTAAGGCACTCGAGGGAGTTGGCGCGCACGGCGCAGTGCAACAAGCCTCCTTCACAATTGACGTATTTGACGGCCGCGTGGACGGACGCCCCGCGACTGATTAGTAAATTAGCCACTTGCACTGAATTCCCGAACGCGGCACAATGGAGCGGTGCGAAGCAACGGGGCATGTAATTGGGATCAGCCCCGCACGATAGCAGATAGTTGGCGCACTCTGAGGACCCGCTGAACGCCGCTGCGTGAAGCGAGGATAGTCCTAGAGCGTCGAAGTACAGCGGGTCCGCTCCCGTCTCCATTAACGCCGGCAGCAACTGGTCTTGCTTGAGGAACGCCGCCCAGAACAGACAAACATTTCTTTCGGCTTCAGTGGCATTGGTAAAGGTGTCGAGGGCGGTTTCTGGCGTGATGACGCCCGACTCCAGGTCGTCCAGCAGGCGCAGTCGGCCGCCGACGGCGCGCATCTGCTCGTGTGCGCTCTGACGCAACGAGTCGCCACATATGTGCGCAGTTAAGTCCAGGGGAGGCTCCTCAAAGCTGTCGTACATGTTGGGGGCGCTCTCGGCGGGCGGCGAGGAGCCGGCCAGCACGTATTCGAGGTGGCCGGTAGAGGGGAAGGCGCGCTCGAGGGACTCCTCATCCGCGGGCGGTTGCTGCGCGCGCGCCGGGGAGGAGAGGGCGCGGGCAACGCGCTGGCGACGCTCCATGGTTCCGGGGTCTGGCTCGGGCTCCGAGGCATGCGGGGCGCGGCGGGTGCGGAGCCAGCGCCGCGAGAGCAGGCTGCGCGCTGTGGGCATGCGGACAGGCGGTCGACGCTTCACTGAGCGGTTCTGCTATTGTCCGCCAATTGCGACGGAAAGAATGAATCGCGCGCACCTTTTCGTTGTTAAGGTGCATTCACACGTGGACGATCAATGAGGACATGTTGATCCATTATTCACAATTTTTAATACAATAGACCAGTGGCATTATTTTTTGGTATCGGGAAGTATAGATCATGCTCCCACAGAAAGAATAGATTATACTCATTAAAAGTCTTTTGGTGGTTTACCTAGTGTGTAGAAGTGTTCAGTCGTTGGTCAGATCACGTGAATTTTAAAATTACAAATTGTCCGAAGATTCTTCTCTGAAAATGCATCTTATATTGCCTGCACAAGTTGTGTCATACATATAAGTATATATAAAATGTTTGTCACCTCATGTCCATGTGCCGTGTGACAGGATCCTAGCAATAGCAATGTAAACGGTCAGTTAACAATGGCCGTCTCGTGTCTCAGCTCTCGGGACTACATTTGTTTACACAGTGCTGCGACCACATCGCACTGTGTTACAGCACAATACTACATTGACAGAATAATTAAAGATATTTATAATAAATGAGCTCATTACCTTTATAAGCCAATTTTTTAATCATCAGTTGTAGTAATACGGATGGAAACACTTGGTAAAACTTATGAGTTTTCTATTTAATTTAAATATCTTTGTTTAAATAGATAAATATAAAAAATATTGGTTTGCGAGGTAAACTAAGACGTCCTTTCCACTAAGACATTAAGCGCATGGATGTTTCTTTAGCAATCGCGGTGGCGTTGTACATCATTGCTCAATGAAAGTCACGAGCTGCCTGTCACTCTAGTGGAATGGGTTCTTAATAGGAAACATTATGCCACTATGTCACTTGGGACCTTTGGAGTTGAGCAGTGAGTGCAAGACAACGTAACGACGTCGCTAAATAAGATTAGCGTTATATCGCATCATATCCTGCCGTTAGGTCAAGTTCTGTAACTCTTACCTTGTTTAAGAACAAATTAAAATGGTCCCTCCTTTGACCTAAGAGGATAGAGATTACAAAACCTTTAAATTATTTAATATTTAAAGTTGTCTGTCAATATATTAGTGGCCAAACTAATGATAATTTACAATTCATTTTAGTAAAACAAACAGCGATTCACAAATATAAAATACGGAAAATAACCTCTCAAGATTGAAGGTTGTTTTTTTATGTATTTGCAAAAATGTGAAGAACTTTAATGCATTGTTCTCATAGTTTAACGAATCTTATAGTTTAGTTAAAATCATGGTAGAATAAACCATTGTACTTTTTGCCATAAAACTAAGTACATACAAGTACAATACAAGTATATGCTATTTTAGTAAGCTGATGTAGAAACATTTATTACATACTTGCCATCGAAACAAAATATTATTAAATACTTTCATAAAAAGATATTTAGTAGAACTAGCTGTCGCCCTCGACTTCCGCCACGGGGAATTTTAAAAACTATAAGTAGCCTTTGTGTTCTTCCAGACTATGTTCTACATCGTCGTTGAGCCATCAAGATCTGTTGAGACGTTCTGTAGATACCTTCGCATTAATAATATTAGTAAGACAATGGGGATACGAAAACTGCACTATATTTAAAACACATGACTATCTAAACAAAGACTGGATGTTAAAATATCAAATAGTTTTCATTAAATTAGTCTACAAATAGATATAGAATAGAACATTGTGATGACTCACCGGAACCATGATTTAATATGTTACACATGAGAATCGATGTCCGTAGCCGATTGTGCAGCGAATTGATTAGCGAATCATCTCAAGGTCATGGGAGCAGCTCATCACAATTCTGACAATACCACAATGTGCCATGACCGATGTAACTTCAGGTCACATTTAAGTACCTACTACTGTATACAGTCTGGTCTGCACATTCTTACTCTTCATATTCTCATTAAAATAACAAGGACAGACAGACTTACAGTGGCCTGTTTCTTAGCGTAGTATTAAATCGTATAGTTATAATAACAATTACTTGTATTTCGTTACAGGAAATATGTAACGATAACTTCCTTTTTACTATTTCCAATACAATGGACTGAAAACAGATACGTGTGTAAAGAACAAAGAAGAAACAAAACAATTCGTAAATCGCATCTTCGGCCAGTAAATCTTATTAATATTATAAATGCGAATGTTTACATAGATGGATGTTTGTTTGAAGGTATCTACAGAACGGCTCAACGGATCTTGATGAAACTTAGCACACATGTAGAACATAGTCTAAAAGACCAAAAAGGCTACTAATTAGTTTCTTTTTTAATTCAGCGCGGCCGTAGTCGCGGGCGACAGCTAGTATAATGTAGATATATTTGCGTCCCGGAGGCTTAATTTAGTCCTTCCCACCCTTTTGTCTTATAAGGAAAGGATGAAAAGTGGACGTGGACTTTACGGATGAGAGGATGCATGGTAAGGGAAGATACTTTCTTTCTGTGCATCCTATCCACCGTCGATTAAAGGTAGGCAACGCATATGCAATTGCGTATGTCTATTGGCAACGGTCACTTCGCTATTTCAGCGATTTTAGGTGGACGCTCGCTCGTTTGCGACCTTATGATATAAAAAAAATATTGAACTGAAATCTGTACGAAAATATTACAAACTAGATTGACTAATACCCACTGTACCATCGGGTCTATTAACCAGTTCAAGTGTAGTTCTTGATCAAGGTTGCGATGACGTCACGTGCAAACTGCCCGGTCTGGGTAAACGACGCAGGAAATAGTCAATTGTGGCCATTAGATGATTCCTTATAATCACTGCCAACCTGTTTTGCTTTAGCGACATGTTTATCTATCTAACCGTAATATTGCAAAAAACCTCGTAGTACAATATTCTCCTTGAAATAATTGAGATAAAAATATTTTTGCTTATGTTTCGACTAGTAAATTATGATGGTATGTTTACATCTAGCGTAAATTGTTGTTCTTATCTTGATGTATTCCCAAATGGTGTGGCTTTGTGTTCATAAATACTTTTGTAAATCAATCCAATATATCCTAGAACTGGCCATAAACAACTCGCAACGAACATCCGGCTTGTATAGAGCCGATCGGTCAGCAAATAAGACGTCGAAAGTAGTTATGGAGTAGTTACACGCTTCGTCGGGATTCCAGTCATATTGTTAAGGAGGTGTTGGAGTGGATCGTGAAAGAAAGACATGGCTGCCGTAAACAAATGAGGCGGCACCCAGTGGTGGTTGACATGGCCTGAGACTAAACGCTCAAGCACAAGATAGAGCGAGCCGGCGGCATACTGAGCACTCTCTTTGCTACCACCCCACATAACAAAATATATTGCCATCTTTGTTTTGCCACAAATAATGTTAGGGATGACGATGTTTTATACAAAGATTTTGGTCTCAGAAATCAATAGTTACTGAAGTATATGAATAATAGTTTAACTATTCAATGTATCACATCGCTCTTTACCATCTCATGTTCCTTTACTTATCTATCATAATTCTTTACCATATTAGAGCCATTTGACGTACGATTTAAGGATTTCTTGGAATGAAAATAAAACTAAAATATTATTTAATATTTATTTATTGTTATACAGTTTGGATCTGCCATAGATAATGTACAAGTTCAAAATTAATTACAGAAGACGCGGGAACCGCTGGAGGCGCGGGGGGCGCGGGGAGCGCGGGGGGCGCGTCATACAAAAATATTAAACGACAAACGATATTTGGATTAATGTTCCGTTTTAACTAACGTATACTATTAAAGCTTATAATAACACACACTAATAACATATAAATTATTTTATTTACAAAAATTATACAAAACACCTTATCTTATCTCGATTTATAATATTGTTAATCACCGAAGTTAAAATTATACTTTAAATTGTTTAAGTAAAATTTTCAAGGGAACTACTGCATGGCACGATCGATGTGTTATGTATGAGAATGTATGAACAATTATAAGTCACACGAAATCGTTCGAGATTCGAACTGCATTACTGTTAACGAACGAAAAGTGTAACTTAGAAAAAAACAGGGCTATAAAATCAGAGCGACCTAAATTTTAAGAAAAAAAATGTATTAAAAATAAAGTGATTATTTCAGTGCTATTTTAACAAAAAAAAAAAGATTTATTATAAAAAAATACTAATCAATTCTTATATTTTTGACGAAACTCTAATCAAAATTTCGTGGAAATCGTAAACTCCACGTAATACTCGTGAGTTGTATTATATTCGTGAGTTTTATGATACTCGTCGAGTTTCACGGAACTCAATTTTTCGAGTAGATGTGTATTAGAGGTATAGTGACGGTGTGTGGTACAAAAGCGTGCATTGGTGGACTCAGGGCTCGCTGAGTCACACTGACGTTTTGGTGCGAGAGTGCTGACGTCACGCCGATGACGTCATCGAGGGTTACAACTTCAAAGTTATTCATCTAGCTCGGAATAGACGGAATATAAAAATGTTCCCTTTGCCATTAAAATAGGTTTTATTGATTCTCTCAAAAATAAAGCTGATTAAGATTCTATAAAATCTTAGTATTCATTTATAAAAAAAATAACTTTTCAATATATGTTTGAATATGGTTCAATTATGTATATAATATTGTTATTTAGATAAAAACTGAACACATAATGTAATATGGTGGAATTATTTAACAAATATTTATTTATCGTTTTACATAATATCCGACAACTAAACTTAACATTTAAAATCAATATTACAAATCACATTTAATATTGTTAATTAAGTATTAAAAATATTTTTATTTAAAACTACCGTAGTTTAGTCTTCGTGGATATAAAAATAAACAACACGTGGGGTAGTTTGAACAAAATGTTAGTAGATCACGATACACGACGTTAACTGATTATTAACAATATATTATTTAATATTGAATAAATCTACATAATGTTATGAGTCGGACATTATTCGCAAAGATGAGGGTAGTCGAGAAATTTGAAATCAATCGATGTTGTATGAAACTTTGCCAAAAATCGATTCCTATTCCCCGAATCATTTTCCAAATTTGAGACTTCACTTTTACATGATTCCTGCATGAATTTTGATTCCCACTCTAAAAGTCGAAGGGCCGAGCTCTTTGACTTTTTCTAATACGCTTCAGCCGGTGGCAGGAAGATGGTGGTGCAGTGCCATTAGGTGTAGTCTGAGCAGTATTATGCAGGAGTCAGACGCAGGAGTACTTGGAGCCGTCGTCAGCAGAGTAGCAGTGGTGGCAGTGCAGACGGCCGGCGCGCACGCGCACGTCAGCGCCGTTCCTGCCGTCGCCGAGACGCGCGCCGCACACCGCGCACGAGAAACACCACACGTGGTAACACAGCGATAGAGACTCGATTATCATCGCCGCGCCGCGACCTGACAACACAATATATATATATATAAATAACACTACCAGCTGCCCGCGACTTCGTCTGCGCGAAAGTAAGAATCTAATGTAACCCAGGGATAGTGTTGCTTCCCAACAGCGAAAGAATTTTTCAAATCTGGTTAGTAGTTTTGGAAATTATTCGATACAAAGAAACAATACATGAACTACTCTATTGCGAGTTGTTTCGTCTTATTAGGTAAAATCTAGATTTTCTGTGTATTTATACTATGGTCTCCCACAATTTAACGGCTGACTGGATGTTGTTAAAACATCACGTTTTAAAGTTTGGTATTAGATTCGATAAAACTAACCTAACAGTAGTTATTCTAACCTAACTTACCGAGTTCCTCTCCGCAGTGGGAGCACTTTCTCTTGCCACTAACACTGAGGACGTGCTTGTCGTCCCTCCCCTCGCGCCCCTCTCTGCCCTCCCTCGCCTCCCGCACTCCCCTGTACTCGTGCGGCAACTGTTGTTGGCTGAATCCATTAATATCACATTAAAGCTCTTTTATACACAATTTAACTAGATAATAAAAATGGGGTCTAGCAAAAGATGTTTCTATATAAAGGTCTAGGGAATTCTAAAAATGAGTTGAATTTCGATCAGACCACCGTTAAATGAAGCATGGTTTGTTAACTACGGAATAGCTAAATTTCCTACTATCTACTGTTCAATGAATTTAAAAAAAATATGTATGTCTAACCGTGAGTTTCTGAGACAAAAATCTCTGTATAAAACATATCGTCATCCATGTTGTTGACTCTGAGATTTTGGTTTAGGAAACACACGGTAAAGCAATCACAACTAGCTAATGTGTCTACTGAATGCAGCAAACATCGCTCACGCTTATATTTTGCCTATACATCCGCGATGCCGTTTGGACTTTTAAACTTTTCTCAGGGACTGGTGGTCTATAAATGTAGAAACAGAATTCCTTACGACTCGAAAACATACAAAGAAAATTTCGTAATAATCAGGATTCTTAACAGAATTTTTATAAAATAAGATTGGTCGGTAAAATAATATGTTACCTGGCTGTAGTTGTTTGCAAATGGCGCGGAGTTTGACTGGCTAGATTGTGTGTTCCATTTTGTGGGCCGTTGTGATGTGCATGTGGCTTGCTCGGAGGCATGTTGTAGGGTGGAGTTTGGGGCAAGATTGGCTGACTGTGGGGCACTGTGTGGGGCACGTGAGGTACACTGTGGGGCACGTGGGGCACGCTATGACCGTCGTGGTAGGAGTGGCGCTGATTGGCGCGCATTTTGTTCTTATGTTCCTCTATCCGACGATGTTCTGCCTCCTGGAATTAATAGATAAAATATATTTAAAAGAATAAAAACTAATTTACTGCACTACCCCTTAAAAATATTTGTATGTGTGTCAATTTTATTGTGAACTCCTGCAGACTAAATCTAAACGTCTTTAACTAAGAAATAATTATTTTATAAAACTAAACGATAGATGGCGCTACTATTCACAATAGATCACGCTTATGTTTTGTTCTAAACGTGTCGCAGTGAGAGCTGTATGTATGTACCTGTATGAGCCAGTGCTGGTGGTAGTTGTAGTTGGCGGGGTGTCTGCTGCGCGCCTGCAGCCAATCCGTGTTGGAGATTAGCTTGGGCGTCGGTGCAGCGCTCAACGCCTGCCAAAATAAACAAGAAGTTACAAATGATTACGTCACAGCTTTCCAAATTAAAACGTCCTTTACTTTGGTATAATGTTAGACATTTATTTGGTTGTTTATATTTATATTGTGACAGTAGACTTACCTGCAAAGTATGCCTGGTCATAGGATAGTACTGTCCATTGCTGTTGCCGTTTACATTGCCGTTGGGTGTCGGCTTGTGACGCATTTGTACGTTGGCGTACTCCACAGCTGAAGGTACACGGCTACTCCTTAAAGAAGTGTAGATTCCCATAATTATCATAATTTATCGCTTGTATTGACAATAATTAAAATGCAGGGTATTCTGAGATGTTACCTATATCTTATTTTACTGTTCCCATTACCTATAGACTCAATTAAAGCAGTATAACAAGAAAGTTAAATTTTCCTTTTCATGATTAGGTAATAATACTAGGTGACAGAATTTTGTTTTATTTTGACTTGCTAAGATGGTATGACGTCATCGTAAGATAAGCAGAGATTATATCTGAGATGTTGATGCTTTTTGGATTGATAAACTATAATCCATCATCACCTTGTCATACTTTTGACTATTTCTTCAAAGTCGATATTAAGATCAACACGTCGTTTTGTAATGTGCGACCTTTCTTCTGAATTTGGTATGAGAAGTTTACATTAAATCATTCCCTAAAAGACGTAGGACTATTAAATTATATATTTTGTAATTTGTTAGCTACAAACCTCATTGTGATTTCCCTTTCAATGGACTCCCTGCTCCTCGGTTTGGGAGGCAGAACGGGCTGCCGCGGGGCGCTGACCGCCGCCCTTCTCTCGGGAAACTTGGCCTTGTCCTCATACAACACTTTCCTACTCTCTTCCACACCGAAATGACTCTGAATATGTTCCTCTGATACGAACGGTTTGCGTTTCATATTCTCATCGTAGACAGATCTTTCTGGAACCTTTGATAACTCCGGTGCACGAGTGTAGTTCTCGTTTATTAATAAATTTGGCATTGAATGCCTGTAGTTTTGGTTTGGTTTCTTTATTCTACCGATAGGTGTCTTTTCTGTTGTTTGCGTGACACTAGATATATCTTGTACTGATTTCTGGATTATTCTATTCTGATCTCTAAGTAGATTCTCTCTTTGTCTTCTTAATTCTTCTTGCTCCAATTGCAGTAGTTCTCTTTCGAATCGCAGCACTTCCTATTGGGTTTTTCACATTAGTATGTTATTTCTTTTTAGCTGGTAAGTTAATTGTTTAGTAGCAACAGAGTTACGTGCACCAAGCCAGCGTGGTTTGATGTATGATGAGCAATGATAGTACAGTTTTCGGTTAAGGTTATATAACATTAGTTTTGTTTCACCGAAAATTGTCACATTTATAACGTATCCAAAAATAACGTAATATATTATTAATTTGTTTATTAAAGTATTTGTTTATTGCAGTTTTATGACGTTATTAATGGATGTAAGTTAAAAGCTTAGAAGTTTAGTGTAAAAGATGTCAATCACCTTGGTATGAGCATCGTCAAAATGCCCGTCAGGCCAGTCCTCGTTAGTGCCGGCCGCCTGCAATGCACGCCACGGCGGCCATCTTGTTTAATGTTATATACACAAAATGGTGGATGACGGAGCATTAATTTTTTAAATAAATCATCACACAGATTATAAAAAGCATTATGTATTGAAATGTAAACGAATTTAATAATAATAATTGCAATTCTAGCGTTATTTTATAAAGTGTTCATATAATTTAGCCATGCATTGGTGTACGAAATAGGAGCAAATAAAAGTCGTTGTAATACTGTGATATATATATTTTTATTGATGCAAGTATATTCTACAGATGCATTACAAGCTTTAAAATACTACTTCTTTTAAATAAATTGGAAAATTCTAAATGTATATCACTTTTTACACTTAAAAATTAAAATTAAAATCAGGCGTAGTTAAGACGTTAAAAAGCGGTGCGTTGTTATTGTAGCTTTTGTTTATTATTTGACAAAATTATATTAACCGTAACCAAGTTAATTGATTTTGTATAAAGCAAAACAAAATAGTTATTGAACAATTAAGAATTTCAATAATTCTAGACTAACTTGAAAGTAATAACTATTACTGCTACATACAAAACCAGACTTAATTGATGGGGAAGCTCCCAACACCAAAATATATACAATATTCATTTAAATAAAACATTATTCTACTGTTAATAATTATTATAATAATTAAAATAAAATATCAGAAAACTATAAATATAATTTTAAAGTACTAACAAACAAATATAATATAAAATAAATAAAACTACTTAACATAAGATTTATTTAAAATGTAAAAGAAAAAGAATTCTAAAAGAAAATAATATTGATTACATTAAAAATAATTATATAAATCAACAAAATTGAAATCAGCGATCTTCGAATAAACGTTTCATAATTAAAACGAACTGAAGATGCATTACAATCCAACGATAAGATATATAGGACCAAAGATACTCCCTTGTGGTACACCACGTCTATAAGATTAGCTATTCTAAATATTTGTGCGATATTTTAAAGTATCAAAACGTGTCAAACACTCTATTGTTAGTTTAGTTAGTTCTCACCTGTTGTTGTTGTAATTTTTTATCCAAGCTTTCGATTTTTGTTTCATTATCTGTGGTCAGTGAGGTGAGTTTAGTTGTTAGATCTTCTGTGAAGATTTCTGATTTCTTTGCAGTCTCTTCCTCGTCTGATGTTACAGTAACATGGGTATACGGCTGGAAATTTAATTGAGCAATAATATTAATGGCAGAAGAAATATTCACTACAGAAGAAATTGTACATTTAGCAATAACTGTGGTAACAAGACTAGAAGACCATAACTTACAAAATTACGGGACTAAAATAGATAAGCCTCGTACTATTTTACAAAGAAAAGCTTAAGGGACCTTATTCACTACTAACCATTAGAAATATTGACGTTTGGACTACAATTATATTGCTCATCTCACTAAAATAAATTCAACATTACCTCACTATTTTGTCTGCTATGTGGATTAGAGGTCTCAGGAGAAGATTGTCCCTTATACCATGCTTCAGCTGAAGGTCCTCTATCTATATCAACGCCTGAATCCCTGCTGTCTCTCAATTTAGCATCCATATCATGTGACAGTGTCTTCTTGTATAACAACTTTTCGATTTTAGTCTCCTCTTGCAAGAAGGAAGTGATGTCAGGACGTGGTGCTAATGTCAGATCAGCGTCTAAGTAACTATCGTCTACTTGACCTTCAATACCGAGGAAAGATGTTCGCTTGTTACGGATCTCTTTCTTGATACGACGAGCTGAACTTGTGTGTTTGAAATTACCCTAAAATTTGTAAAATTTTAAACCCTAGCCAGTAAAACATAAAGATTGGATACTATAATTTATATTATCAAATATATAAATCATAATTGTATAGTTATCGGCTTATCGGTGATCAAATATTGCTTATCAGGTGAGTAATTACGCACATGTAGTAGTTACAAATATTTGGAATGTTTGGATTAGGCAAATATTAGAATTAGCTTCCGGATCGATCATTCAAGTTATTGAAATTAGAGATTTAACACTTTAAATGCTATCAGCTTTAGTTATTTCACTTTTGATGAAAAATAATAGTGGCATACATACATTTCCAAGAAGTTCGTCTTCTGCGGCATCCTCTGTGGGGGGTGGAGGAGGTTTCTCTTTAGGAGGCTCCAGAACATTAGTGGGTAAGTCTAATGGGAAAGCATTCGAAGCGTCTACTGTATTTTGGTAGAATATATCGATGTTCTCATACAAAGGCGTCACTGACACTTTGTTTTCTATATCAAAGTCAAGCAAAACCTTATCAGTTTTTACTTCGACTTTGTTTTCTTCTGTTTTTATTTCGTCCTCCATTTTGCTGTCAATTGCTGCACTGTCTTCTGAATCAAGCTCTTTAAAAGCTAATTCTAAAGCATCGATTACCTGGAAATTGTCAATTATAATGTTAACATTCGCAACTTGGTTAGATAAAGAGAAATTTTAGAAGAAAGCTAAAATAAAAAATGTTAACAAAACGAAAAAAAATCTTTTGACTAGATAAGCTATTTGGACGCTATAAATTTCGTAAGGAATTAATATTTAAAAAAAGAAATCTGTAGTAAGAAGGAATGTTAGTAAATCATGTAACAAATATAATAAAAAGTATACATGCTAATCAAGCAGGAATATAATATTAGCTATGAAAATCATAATGCAGCGTAAAATGAAAAAAAAATGTTAGAATCAAGCTTGCACCACAAACTGATCTTACCTCGAGTTAACCCATCACCAAAAGCTGATGTAAGATATCCTAATGAACAAAACTTTAAGATGAAATAAATACATTTAGGAGAACATCACAGTGAGGGGCGCTTGTAACAGACATACTGAGCCTACAAAGCCACAATCACAAGATATGGCCATGTTTGATTAAGATATGCCGCGCATAGATAACATTATTATCGTAACTCATAAAATAGTATATCAAGATGTCCCTAACAATAGTAAAATATATTTCTTCAATATTGTTTAGATGTAATGAAGGATGATTTACATATTAATAAATAAAACCCAAACGTAACAGTGCAACGTATATTTTGGATAATGATTTTACAAATATCACGTTGAAGAACATTTCTAATGTTTCCAGATAATGATATATCCAAAATTCGATTGTTTTTACGCATGTATAAAGGCTACACAAAACCCTGTTTAAACACTACGATTATAGATTATTTTATATGGTCAATTGGTGATTAATGTTTTAGCACAACGAATTATGTGATGTGAAATTATATTGACTACAAATGATATTACTGTTACATGGTGTAGATAAATTAATTAGTTCGTCTAAAGTGAATCTAAAACATGGTGGATACCTAATAAAACGTGATCAGTGGAAGACTGGAAAATTTTAAACAAAAAAATAAGAGATCATAAAAGTTCTAGAAAAATTATTGCCTATATCTTCTTTTCTCATCTCTCTTGCTAAACGCAATTATGAGAAATGGAATAGGAATATAATATGAAAGTCTTTTAAGGCCTTACTTATTTTGACACTGGTTACTAGTGTTTACTGTAGTCTTGTTATTAATAAATAGAATTGTTTTCCTTCTGTTAGGTTCGAGGCAACGTTTGGTACGTTTTCGCCAAAACGGATTAGAGTCTTGCGTATCACTGGATGTGGAATTTGTGTCAATGTTTGTGCTAACGTTCTCGCTTTGTTCCTTAACAATATGGTTAGTTGAACAGACCGATGAAACAGACTCGCTTACACCTACTTGATCAGAGCTGTGATGAATGGGTGATGTTAATGCGTTTACATTATCAGTAAGCGTTTTATGATTATCGTTAGTTATTTTTAGCGTTTTAATGGAATTCTTTGGTGAAATGTTAGTAGTAGTAGAAATGTTAGAGACAGTTACCATTGGCATGCTTTTGCTGTTAGAATTGTTAGTGAGGTTAGTTTCATTATTATTAAGATTGTTCCCTTGACCAGAGTTTAGACCGTTGCATATTTCATCCAAATTTAAATGTATAGTCATTTTTCCCTGAAATACTACGGTATCGCCTTCCGATGTAGTCGACACGGGATCATTTAAACTTACACTTGAGTCTTGATTCTCTAAACTCTTCAATGTGTCCTCATCTTCTTTGTCCAGTTGAATTTCTGTGATATCTTCGGTGACACTTAATTCTTCAGGTTGAGACAGCGCTTGAATGTAGTTGCTTCCACTGTCAGTACTCTCAGTTATATCTTGTTCTTTCGCTTGTTCTACCCTAACATCGCTTTCTACTATTGGATCGGACATTTTGTTACTTTCAAGGTGATTTTCTTCAATTTTAGTCGATTCTAAGCCGATCATGTTATCTTCATTGGAAGATTCGTATTCGGACACCTCGGCCATAGGTTCTCCGATAGGAGAAGCTACTTGAGTTAGATCAGCGATGTCGTCCGGCGGTGCGCAGGAATCCCTGGCGGTGTGTATCCCACTGTCTTCCGTCTCGATGTCACTAGGGACAGTGTTGTTTTGCATTTCGACACTGTCAAAGTCCTCGAGACTCTGCACTCTTTCGAATGAATTAGGCGAAGACTGACCGTTTATATCTAAACTGTCTAGAGATCTACAGAAACTCTGCATTTGATTTTCTATTCCGGACAAATTACACGTTAAAGACGACTCGGGAGATTTTTCTTTAAAATTATCACAAGTTTTAATCCCACTATTTTCATTATTGACTATCTCCTCTTCGACCGATATTTTCGGAATTTCCTTATTTTTGGCAGCATCGAGGCACGACAGCCGTTCCTTTAAACTCATTGAAACTTGTTTAACGTCAGTTTTTGCTACTCTCATTTCCTCTTCTGAAACTTGAGACTTCAGACTATTCAAGCGTTCTTTCAGAGACTTTGTTGTATTCAACTCTCCATTAGATAATCTTTTGAATTTCTCTGGTTCCGATGTTTTTATTTTTTCTAAAGACGATAACCGTTCTTTCAACGGTTTAACTTCAGAAGGCAACTTAGTAAGGTCACTAGTCGATTTTTGTATATGTATTTCTTCTGTGAACTTCTCTAAGCTTGATAACCTATCTTTGATAGATTTTTTATTAGTTATTTCAGGTAATTTTGGTTTATTCAATTGCAGTTCTTGAGAATTTTCTCTTTCGAATTGCTCTCTGCGTTTATGGATGTCCACTTTTGGCAAATCTTTCTTGTTATTATTTTTCATGTCATTGATTCGTTCCTGTTTTAAGGACGAGAGCTTTTCTTCAATTTTATTATTAACAGACGTTCTGATTCTATTGTAGTCTGCGTTAGATTTTTCTGGCGATTTTTCTTTACAATTATTATTGACTACCGTCTTAACCATACTGCTGTTTGTCTGTGAAATGATTCTGGATTTGTAGCCCTCGATGGCGCCTTCGTACGTGTACTCCTCGGGCTCGGGCGAGCTGATCGTGGTGGTCGTACAGGTGTCGTATTCGTTGGCACTCGAACCGAGCTTGCGATTGTTTCCGCAATTGGACATATTATCCACGTCCGAGTGGTTTTTATCGAGGTCCATGCCATCGCTCTGAAAACATAGATTGAAACTTTTGTTACAAAAACTACAATGATAAGCTTTAGTACAGCCATTTGCTAAGTTATTACACTACGGTATGTTTCATATATTGTTCTTGGACATATAGCAGAAATGTTCCACCATACTTCCTGTTTTTTCGATCTCTCATTCTGATTAGTAAGATTGTTGTGGTGACGACTTACGGCGAGACTGTGAGTGTCGCAGTCTTCGCTGAGGCTGCTCTTGGTACTGGAAGTGCCAATGCCGAGGTCGCTCAGGTCATGCCCGTCGTCGTCCGTGTACAGTGCCAGAGGATTTCTCCTTCTGCGACCCGCTCTGTAAAAAATACAGTGAATAAGTTAGGACATTACCCAAGATCTGTACGAGATGTAGTTAAAAACAGTCTTATACACAATAATATTTATAGAATTGATGAAGAAGCATTTTCATTACTCTGGACATTGTTGAAATACGCGGTGAACCGATCAGGTATATAATGGATCAGGACAATAGAAAGATAACCTCGATAGGAAATGTATGTATTTTAAAACTTAACCAGGGTAAATATGTATATAGATATAGTGTATGCGTTGAGTCACAATACGTAAAGAGCTGCTGTATAATTAGCAGGGGATAGTAATGTCAGAGTTGCGTCACCGCGAGCCTGGACTTGACTCACGTAGCTATCTGTGGCCGCGGAAGATCGCACGCCTTATGTTTACACTATGACAAACATGTTGAGCTAAAGGGAGCCTAGCCCAGACTTCAGGGAAATGACACAGGTGTGGGCTATGACTGGTCTTATTTATATTTAGAGGATTTCATGACAGTGAGTCTTTTTCCTGGCGACGAAATAAGTTGATATTTTTAGATGCATCAATGTTATTTTTAAGAATAGCTACCTACATTTAGATTACTCTAGGTTTTTTAACAGTTGTATACTAACGCCATCTATTACTTAAAAATTTAAATCGGCCTTGATACGTTTTTACGAAAATATCATGTTACGTAAAAAAGGAAAGTGGCAAGTTCATTGGTATATTTGTTTGAACAGGTCTGGTGATTGGGAAGCGTTCGTTCACCGCCGTCTCAAGGCGAATGTCAACTTTACGGAAACGCGCGTATGCTGATATAATCATACTATAAGCGAAATTTACAAGTGATAAGTTGTTAGGGTTGTAACAATATATTTAAAAAAAAAAAATTGCACGTTTATTGGATTATATGTGTGTATTATATGTAAATTCTATTTTTTTTAGTGATTTACGAATAAGTTTTCGAATAAGTATTCGATCCGTGTGTTTGATTTATGACAGACTTCGAGAGCACTTTTTGAGAGCATTAAGTCAGTACCTTAATGCTCTCAAAAAGTAAAAGAGCCTAAACAAATTACTTTGCAGTTTAGTAAATAAAGAAAAAAACATATAATTGTTTGAATTCTCTTGAATGTTTTACTAATTAAGTGCTACACAGTTGTGACAACCCTATGGAGCCGGAAGAAAAGTGAAAACACAGTGTGAGCGCTAAACACTCCGTCGGCCGGCGGGGGGCGGGGGGCGCTGGGGAGCGGGGGGCTGCGCACGCGCACTTTCGCCGCCACACTTCTGTACATTTGAATAGAAAGCCCGCGCGATTATCACACTTCTTGCCTTTAATAGAGATTTTTTTCTTCTGTCCGTTGACAATAATTAATAAGTGACATAAACGCGAACGACGTTGAATCTTCTTTTGTAAAAAGCAAACTGTTGCCTTAAAGACGCTTCTTACATTCATTTTTATACCAAAAATGAATACTTGCATTTAATTATTACCATATTACTTAATTATAAGAAGAAGATATCACCAAGATATGATTTGTTCCAAAATGACAAAACAGACTATTTTATTTATTTATTATATAAGTACAATTTTATTAAGCTAAGCTCAGACCACATGCGTAGTACTATGTACTTGATTTAGTTACAATCGTGATGTAATGTTCGTGGGGCATTACACTTGTGCTGGGGTCACGAGCCGGGATCACGAGCTAGGGTCACAGGCAATTGCGTGACCCCACTGTTTGCCCAATCGGTGAAATTTAAATGTTTTGTTCCTAGTATAAATAAAATAATTTGGGCTTCAAAGGTATTTAATGTTTTTGACGTTGATAAAAGCTTGTTATAAATAATTTGAAACGAAAGTAGTTAATTATTTGTTATAATAATTGAATAAAACTTCTTTAAAAACCATAGAAAGTTCTAGTCTCGAATTATTTGCGAAAGTATTTTGAACTTAAGTAAAAATCCTACCCATAACATTAAGTCAACCCTAACCTTATGATTGCAATCTTTGAATCAATAGTAAATAGATTTCCACATAGACTAAACATATACGTTGTACATAACTAAGCATTCAAGCATGGGAACGTTCCCATTTGAGCAATTTCCCTCAGCATCGAGTCCCGGACTCACGCGGGCAATTTCCTCTAGGATCAAACCTGGACTCACGCGCTGGGGATCACGCGCGCTCGTGTCTCCGGTACACGAATCTATTTACATGGGTTTAATCTAACAACAATAAAAAACATTTTATAATTATAATTAAATAATTGAACAATTTAAAATAATTTTTATCTCATATAAAATTGTTGTAGAAAGGAATAATAATTACGAATTTATTGAACCTTTTTATCATACGATAATGACGAAGCAAAATTGTTTTTTGTAGACTTTTTAATAATAAAAAAAGATAACGAACATTTGAACATAAGAACATTTTTTTATGTTCTTATGTACAAGTACTTCTACGTATACTAATAAGTGCTAAAAAACCATGATTTAAGTCGAACCATCAAAATTCAAATACAAGATATTGTGGGCAATTCCTCACGCGGCCTCACGATTGTCTTGTCCAACATTCGTGGATTTTTGCACGAAATGACGAGACGAAGCATTCTTGACATCCGCCAGTTGGTATGAGTTACAAGCTGAAGCGATTACACCGGTCAATTCAAATATTGAAGCTACAATAATCCGCATCGAGCTTAAAACTAGTATGTGAACCCCGATAGTCCCCAATTTTCACGCATTTGGAAAAACTATTGGGCCTCTTGCCCAAAAATATGTTTTTCGCGACTTGACTATATTTTAAATGTTTTGAATAAAAATACGATTATTGTTTATTTGTTTAAATATTCAGCTTCTGAAACCTAAATAAGTGCAACGTAATTGAAACCTACGATAACTAAATGTTGTATAATTACCGAGTTTAAGAGTCGATAATTTAGTTTTTCCATTAAATCGTTGGTTAAACCTTTAAGTATGAAAAATGCGACAAAAAACATAATCGCTACCAGTTAATGCATTACGCGTGTCCAAGTTAACGTCGCGATATGTTTGTTTTTTGCACGTAATTCCACGATTAGCGGTAGAATCGCCACCAGGGGGCGCGGGTACGCGCGGGGAGGGGGATAAAGCTGATACACATGAGACGATAAAGAATAAAATTTGCTTTTAGCTTAAAATATCACTAAACAAACTATCACTATAAGACCTAAAATTTAACACGTATAAATTAACAAATAATAGAAAATTTTATCTTCATTTTTACTCACCCGCGAATCTGTCCGCACGGGATTAAGAAAACCTCAATTAGTAGCCTATGTGTTCTTCAAGACTATGTTCGAGATCTGTTTAGCGGTTCTTGAGATAACTTCAAAAAAATATCCATTTATCCATCTAAACAGTCGCTTTCATAATATTAGTAAGAAGTAAGCAATTTTTACAAGTTTTTAATACATTGCCAAAAATCGTCAAATGACATTTTAACTAAATAGTACAAAATAAACGTGTGGCCTTGAAGTTTTTAAAACGCGCGTTTTTAAATCGGCTAGTGTGTACACAGCGTTACGCGGCAGCAAGGCGGTCATTATCGGCCTCTTTGTCATCGCTGCGTGTCCGCACGCGCTTACAAATTACACGCCGCTCACATCGTTGTTTAACGGTTTGGGAGACATGACATTCATTCGTTATTTACTGAATCGAAGATATACGGTAGTTTGGACGTGAGGAAAAAGCGCGTTGATATCAGGTAACACCGTATGTGTAAATACAATAGGAAATTTCCTAGAGTCTAGATAAATTTAAGATTAAGATCTTGGCTGAAAAAATTCTTAACTAGATGAAACATAATCTATATTCAACAATTTACAATGGTACCACAATCTTTCTTCTCATGTTACTAATTTTTAAATGCGAATGTATGGATGGATGGATATTTGTTTGAAGATGTCTTCAGAACGGCTGCATGCATCTCGCTGCAATTTATAATCTCGAAGAATATAGGCTACTAATGAAGTATTTTTTTAAACCCGCACGGACGGAGTCGTCGGCTACCGCTAATTTTTAGATAAATGAGTTCCTACTGTTAGGAAGAAAAACCGAAAATGTGCCAGTGTACTGACGCAACACTAGCCTTACTAAAACGTCGACGTTTATGTCCCCTCACTATTCATTCTGAGACTGGACTTCACAACGTAAGTACATCATTCGTCCCAAATGAATCTAACTAATGTCAAAAATTAGAAAGAAGCAAATGATAATCTATTGCATTCCCTTAATGTAAAGTAAATAGAATGTAAAAATCAGTGCGCTAGAAAGTGGAGCAACTTTTAAAACAATGTACAAATACGATCACGTTAATAACGTTAAACTTGTCCCCATTTCGCTAGGTAACGAATTAAGGGCAAGTTGTGTGAAGCCATAAGCCGCACGCTATACCGCTTTCCAATCTGTTCCGACACTAGTAACAGGAAACTGTGGGAAGACGATCTAGCATTGTAACATGCCCTATAGGGGGCGTTACCTTACACGTAACACGTTTTTTACCTTTACATTAGTGTAAAGGAGCTGTTTAGAAAATTTAATTCTCAATGTATACACCAATAACGCTTAATTTCAAAGAACTACATCCATATATATTAATAAAATTAGAGTGTGTATATGTAATACAGATTGTAGAAAAATATACTATTTGTATTTTTTAAATTTTTGTCTGTCTGTGTATCTGTTCGCAAGGCTGCGATTGTTCTGGGTAATCACCGAAACGGTTGAACTGTTTTTGACGGGAAAGCAGCTCACGAAATATTTTAGACTACTTTTGCTGTCGAAGTCGAAGGCGACCGCTAGTATATGATAAAATGATATATGTACAGCGTTTATATAAGTTTTAAACAAAGGATTTTTTTTAGTATTTTCCCCTTGTAGTTATAAATCTGGCTATACACCAGTACAGTTATATCATTGAATTTTGGGACACGTTGTATATTTATATAAATAGTATTTCTAAAAATCCAAATT